AAAACAGCGGGTTGCTTTTTATACAAAATTCATGCAGGAATTCCTGATGAAATCAAACAGGTTAGAGGAATGTATGTAGACCCAAGACTTGTAAACTATATAGCAATGTGGGCTTCTCCAAAATATTGCATAGCAGTTGGAAAAATTATGGACTCCATAGACAAGAAAGTTCATGAGAAGTTAGATGAAGAAGAACTTGAAGATACAGTAGAGAATGCAAAACCTTTGTTCGAAGAAGAAGTTAGAAAAATGCATGAAAAACAAATAGAACATGAACGTGAGATATATTATGGTTATAGAGATTCTCCATACGAACTAGACCAATGGGAACAAGAAGATTTAAAGAGAGAATTTAGAGAATATGAACTCGCTAAGATAGCATTAGAAGCTGCAGAAAAGAAGTTAAAAGTTTGGGGTCGTTTTGTACAAAAATATTGTGAGTAAATGAACCATTTTTTTCGACAAAAATATATTTTAGGTGAAGAGGTGAGATGTCACCCGTTTTCTCACCTGTTTTCTCACCCGTTGGATTTTCATGAATTTCCTTAAGATAAAAAATATATTTTAGTTTTTTATAAAATATTTTTTTTTATTTTTATTGTAAGAACATGTTAGCAACAACTTCACCAAACTCGTTAGTCATGAATCCTACGTCAATGTTAGTAGAAATGAAAAGCTTCATTCCTTCTTCATATACTTTCGAAACAGAAATCCAGAAGATAAAGCAAGAACTGTTAACAAGTAATTTAGACTGTAGTGCGAAAGATGAAGAAAATGAACAGTATCTTTATGAAATGCAGGATATTATTGACCATCTACCTAAACTACCTGAAATCCAACAACAAAAACTAACTATTCCTGAATTCGACGAAATTGAAGTGAAACCAACTGACTCGGTAGAAATAAAGAAGTTCATACGAAAGGTAAATTATGAGTTTCTTGGATTTCATTGCAACCACAAAGTCATGGACAAAGACTGCGATATGGTATATAAAAATGTTTCTGACATATATAAATCTGAAGAATTTAAGACCTACGACAACTTTGTTTCGTTGGTTGCAAAATGTGTATGGCAGATAAGAGATAAAGACAGAAGGGGTAAAATATGGAACGAACAGATAAGACCAACTGCTTCAGATTTAAAGAAAACCATTGACGCCTTAGTCGTACTTGCAGGTAAGGTTTCAATGTACAATGCAAAAATGAACCCACAATGTTCTAAATGTAAAGCAGCAATGAGAAATAGTCAAAGAGATAGAAAGAATGAGAAACGACTATGCAGATTTAAAGAAAGAAGCAGAAAAGCCAGCAGAAAATAAAATGGACATGTTAGAATTTCTGAACAAAAACTATCCAACAGCAGACGATTTCCTTCTATCTGATGTCAAGAAGAAGTATAAAGAAACTTTCGGTATCGTTAAAACATTTGACATACTAAAAGAAGAAATAGAAGCTACGAAATTGTTTAGGATTTCAAATATACATCGTACAATTCATGTAAAACGCTTGTGAAAAAAGAGGTGAGAAAAGAGGTGAGAAAACGGGTGAAATCTCACCTCTTCACCTAAAATATATTTTTGGGTCATTTACGCTCATTACGAAGAAGTCTTGACAAAACATTTACGATGAAATCATGAAAATTCATGTACGAAGAAGTCTTGACAAAACATGTACGATGAAATCATGAAAATTCATGAGGTGAAAAATTAGGTGAAAAAACAGGTGAAATCTCACCTCTTCACCTAAAATATATTTTTATTGAATTCAGCAACAAAAATCTGAGTAAAATGGCATATGCTTGCTTCCCTCGGAAAACCGAGAGAAGGGATTCCGTATGAAATTCATGAATTTCCTTAAGATAGAAAAAATAAAGTTATTTTTATTTTTTTTATTTTTTTTATTTTGTATGTAAGAACAGATAATGTCAAACAATGAGTTTGAAACAGTTAGAAAGATAGACAATGACACCAAAGTGGTTAGAATTGGTGATTTAAACGTAAGATACTCAAAGAAATACAACAAATATTCTTTGTCAGACATTATATCTCCATCTGGAAAGAAAACATCCCACGACTGGGTTAGAATTGCTTCTACTCAGAAAATTTTGACAAGAAATCCTGAGCTTATAATATCGGTAAGATTCTATGGAACTACAGCATATCTCATTGACAAAAGTCTTATACCAATAGTTTTGTTATGGTTAGACCCAGTTGTTGGATATAACTTCATAACATATGGTTCATTCGATACGGAACGTTGCAGTGAAGGCTTACTTTACATCGTTCAGAAACCGAAGGACTTCAACACAAAAAGATATAAGATAGGAAGAACATATAATATAACTCAAAGATATGACAATACAGTCAATAGAGTCAGGGTTGTGTTTGTAAATGATATGAGAGCTGCTGAAACAGAACTACTTGAAAAGTTTGAGAAAATATATGGTGCTCCCACGAAAGGTAAGGAAACGTTTGAAGTAGATGAGATAGATAAAGCTATAAAATTATTTGACGAAGTTGCTGAAAAATACATGTAAAGCGTTTATTTTTACGCTTGACTTCAGATGGCTCAGGTAGTTCCTAACTAGCTCATTTATCTCTATAAGGTAGATTTGCCTCATCTGCTGGGTCTATGTCGGTCATTGTTTCAAGACAAGTCTTTTACTTTTTCAAGACAAGTCTTTTACTTTTTCAAGACAAGTCTTTTACTTTTTCAAGACAAGTCTTTTACTTTTTCAAGACAAGTCTTTTACTTTTTCAAGACAAGTCTTTTACTTTTTCAAGAAATTTTTTGGTGTCAAGTTCTCAAATTTGAGAACAGTGGTCTTGATTTCAGACGATACCCGTACTTTTTCAAGACAAGTCTTTTACTTTTTCAAGACAAGTCTTTTACTTTTTCAAGACAAGTCTTTTACTTTTTCAAGACAAGTCTTTTACTTTTTCAAGACAAGTCTTTTACTTTTTCAAGACAAGTCTTTTACTTTTTCAAGACAATGTCCGACGTCAGTCAGTAAATTTTATCGTCCAACCTTACAAATGTAAACTTATATAGTTCTATTTTCTTCACTAGGGTCTAACACCAAAGTAGCCTTACAAATGTAAACTTATATCGTTCTATTTTCTTCACTAGGGTCTAACACCAAAGTAACCTATGTACATGAAATTTCACTGCATAAAAGGAAAAAAACCTGGGCGAATCGGGATTTGAACCGAGGTCTTCGACGCCTTTAACGAGGTAGCCCATACCACTGAGCTATGAGCCGCTTGCATATTTTTAAGTAAAATATAGTATATTTGTCATACCGTGAAGGATGACCAAACTTTAAAAAAATAAAGTTAGTTTTATTTTTATTTATTTTTTTATTTTGTATGTAAAGACAGATATGTCAACAACAGAGAACACAACAACAGTTATAGTCCATGAAGCTATAAATGAAGAATATGAATGGATACAATATAACAAACAATTGCGTCTAATTCGTTCGGTCAAAGACGATATGTACCAAATGCAAAGTATTTTGACAGCATGTTTTGCTCCAGATACTATGAAACCACAAGATTGGTTTGAATTAAATAGCACTCATGAACTCCTCAGTGAGTTTGAACATGTAGAACTTAAAAAGATGTACCAAGACAGACAAAACTTACCATCACATCTAAAAGGTATATATGTTCATAAGTTCCTAGTTAGTTCAATAGCAATGTGGGCTTCACCTCGTTATGCAATCTACATACTTATGCTACTTGACGAACTTTGTACAAAGCAGAGAGAAGATATGATGAAAGAAGACAAAAACATACAGAAAAGAATACCACGTTCGGTACCAAAAGGAAAGGAAAAGAACTATAAGTATATGATTTATACTGAAGAGATGGAAAATGAAGAAGATAAAGATATGGTTATGTTGCATTTAGTCAGAAGAAACAACAAAAGCTTTTACGACCTTGCTAAGATTTACAAATCTGACAGAAATTGGTTCTATCGCGAAAACTTACCGATTTCAATGACCCCAAATGAAGATGTGAAACAAATAGTTCAAGATACGTTACCTCAAACACACTATGATATTAAAGGTTGTACAATACTTACCTTCAAAGAAGATTTGCCATTGTTAAAGGAAAAAATAACAGAGTATTTTGACAACTTCAAACAAGTAGAGTAAATTGCACTCTTTATTTTTACGCTTGACTTCAGATGGCTCAGGTAGCTCTATAAGTTAAATTGTCTTGTCAAATCCTTCTGGCATTCCGAGTCCTTCCTTCCGACAGAAAAATATTTTCCCGACAAGAAAAGTCCTTCCATCCGACAAGAAAAGTCCTTCCATCCGACAAGAAAAGTCCTTCCTTCCGACAAGAAAAGTCCTTCCTTCCGACAGAAAAAGTTTTTCCCGACGACAGGAAAAAAATTTCCTGTTGTTCGTCCGTAAACCATTCAAATTTTCGAAAATTGAGAACTTTTTTCCATCCGACAGGAAAATTTTTTCCATCCGACAGGAAAATTTTTTCCATCCGACAGGAAAAGTTCTTCCTTCCGACAGGACACAAACGAATGTCCGACGTTCCTCTTCCTGAATGTCTTCCAAAGCCAGAAGAACCGACAGCCCCAGCACCACAACAGACTAAGACTCAAACACTTACATTTTTCAAGCTTGACTTTTTACAATTTGAACTTTGTTTGCGTAGATATGAATTCTGAAAGAAGTATGAGGGTCTTGTATGACTTTGTACTTCTCCCATAGTTCATGTCTGTCAAACTTACCTGCCATGGACTCTTTCATAAGTTCCATGAAATCGTCTTCGGACAATCCGGGGAAAAGTATAATGTCAGTAAGTATTCTTTTAACATCCTTACTTAAACTCTTTGCTGTCTGTACACAAATGACAACAGAGATGTTAAAGTGTCTGAGCTTCTTAAGAATTCGACACATGTCTTGTTCTCTGTTCTTTAACAAAGGATGAGAAGCAAAGTCATCTAAGATAAGAAGACATCTATGAGGGTACGTTTTCCAATCGTAAGATTGCAATTTCTTCGAAATGTATTCTATCTCTTTCTGTTTGTTTCTGAAGTGTTTCTTCTCTAATATTCTCTGCATTTCCTCATTTGGGTCTTTAAACTTAGAATTTATATACTCATTTATAGCATTGTACTTCAAAACTCTTCTTTGGTACTTCTTTATCCAATCTAACAACTCAGAGTCTTTTATACATACTAACTTAGACTTCTTTATAATATCTTTGAACGAATTGACGGTCTGGTCAAATTGACCAGAAGTACTACAAATAACAACTAACTCATAGAATGGGTTCTTCTCATCTAGTTCTTGTTGTTGTGCAGCCATTTTAAGATAAGTGAAAGTCTTACCCGACCCAGGTGGTGCGATTAGACCTGTTATACCATTCTGAGCAAATAAGAACTTTTCATGTATAGGCTTTATCTGAGCATTTTCTAACTTCCTCTTGTTCTTCTTCAAAACATTCTCAAATTTCTTGTCAATGTCAGCAAACTTTTTTTCTAACATATTTTTAGAAAAATTAAAATTTTTATCTTTTAGAAAATGTCTAGCGATTTCGCTATCTATATTCGAGACAAGCTTTTTGACTCTAAAACTTCTGTCGACCATAAAATCTTACATAGTGTAAACAAGAAAGGTGAATTTGTTCTAAAGTTCTGTTTCTGGGAATATGACAAGAACCATAAAACATTAGGCAGAGAAGTCTTAAAATTTGTCAATGACAGACTTGTTGACAGAGATGACGCCGATTGGAAAGATGAAGTCCAACAAAAGTTCTTAGAATGCAAAGAAGGCACATGCGCTGTTCTTGAAGATGAAATAGAAAACAGAATAGATGAGCTATTAAAGGACAAAGAACTTTTACATAAATATGGTTCTGAGAAATTTGACATAACTCCACCAGAAAGAAGAAGAGAGAAAAGAAGAAAAGAAAGTAAAAGAAGAAGAAAGTAGAAGAGAAGAAAGAACCTGAACCAGTTCCAGAGAAAAAGAAATTTGACATGTAAAAATAAAATTTTATTTTTTAGAACATTTCTGGGTCAATGTCAATGTTCTCTTCCTCTTTAGGAGTAAACACTGGCTTAGACTCTAAAATCTTTTTACCCAATTTACCTTGAACTTCAACTATCTTAGACTCATAATATTCATAGTCGTCTGCTTTCTTTGGTTCATAAGGTATAACAAGTTTGTATGCTTTGCCTTCTTTAAGGTTTGAGAACCTTCTGTCAAAATTTTCTTTGACTGCTAACAAACCTTCTATGTCTAAGTCTTCAAATTTCGCACCATTTTTAGTCACAATAGCAAACTTAACTGGTTCGATGTTCCAAACTTTGTCAAATGTAGACTTTTCAAAATGGTAGAAGTAAACATTCAAATAAGCGAATGGGTCTAGTTCTTCTTTAAGTCCTGACATATATTTGTTGACTGAAATATATTTTGCCATCTTTTCTATCGGATAAAAAAATATTTTTTATAAAATTTACTCAGAAAAATTTTTCTTTGTATATACGCCGTTCTGAACATCTAAAAGACTTTTGACATTTGCCAAGAATGTACGTTTAGAAGCTGCCATATAACCATACTCTTGACAATATTGTTTATTTACAATGACCTTTCATCTAAACACTCAAAGTCGGTTTCATCTATAAACAGTTCATATACACTCTTGTTTGCTTCTAACAATGTTTGTCTTTCTTCGGTATGTGGAATTTGTCTTGGATTGAACTTAGAAATATCTAATGTCATGAAATATGAGAACAAGTGGTTGTAAAAGTCAGATGTCAAAGTTTCTGCTAAGTCGTCAAAATATTCTGTATCTTGCATATGAGAATCTGACGTTCTGACAACTACATATCTTCTGTCAGAACTTTCTAACTTCATCGGAACAGCATTGTTTGAAACCATAATGAAGTTTGCAACATTTTCACAAACTCTTTGGTCTTTATACTTTCTTTCAACAACTCCAACTTTGTCTGTTATAAGACTCTTCAAAGCATCTGAGTTCAAAACTTTTGTTGTATCTATACTTTGAAGTTCATTGCAAACTATAAGTTTCATATTCTCTATTGAGGAGTTAAACTTGCCACAGATGTTTTCTATGTTTGTCATATTCGGATTCGAATAACCTTCTAATAGTTTGCACAAAATATCTGTAAAGAATGTGTTCTTACCTGTTCCTTGTTTTCCAATTATAATGAGAGCAGTTTCATTTTTAGCACTTGGATGTTGTAAGATGTTTGCAAACCAACATAAGATATACTCATAAACCTTTTCGTTTCCATTGCATATAATTTCTTTGACATGGTCTAACCAAGCTTCTATAATATTTTCTTTCCATTCTACTTGTTCATATTTATATCCAGTGAAGATAGAATAGAAGTTTGGAGAAGGTGTATAGAACTTTATACCTCGAACTGAAAAATCTTCTAACTTTGACAATAAGATATCCCAAGCATCTAACATCTTCATTCCAACTTGTACGACTTTTATTTTCTTAAGTTTCTGTCTACATTCTTGTTCTGAAACTATTGTTGCTCTTGGTTTGTTAAAGACAACATCCCATTCTTTCATGACATAACATTCTGGGCAGAGTCGACATAAATGACTAAACGTTTCAAATTCTCGACTGCTTTGTTATAGTCTCGAAATGGACACATATTTCTGAATGCTTGGAAGTCATAAAAATCTGAAACATCTATTCTGTACATTTTTATAAAAATAAAAAAAATATTTTTTTTATTCTTGAGCTATTTGTTGCATTTGTTCCATTTGTTGCATTTGTTGTTCTTGAGCTATTTGTTGTTGAAGTTGTTCTTGTAATACAATACTTTCACCAGTTGCATCTTCCAATTCGAAACTTTCTGCCGTCATTGACAAATACATAGGACATAAAAGTTTTACAGGAACAAAGTTTGCGTCAACTAATGTCAACGTTATACTTGCCAATGTGTTTGAGTTCACTAAGGTGAAAATTCTGCATTCAAATGAACAATAGGCAAACCAGCAGAGAAAGTGTTGTTTATACGCATGAGTATCTTTTGGTCATAGTAGTTTCTGTCGACATTCGAATAGCACTTTGAACCTAAGTTTGAAACAATATATAAAATAGGTGTACTTAAAGTCAATGGAATAGACATTCCTTGTATGACACCTTTTCCTGTTATAGGAAACTGTTGGTAGTAAAAACCAGATATAAGTTTTGTATTATAGCTCATATCGTTTATACTAAACTCAGTCGGACATCCAAACATAATGAAACCTGCTCTAGTTGCAGCACATGTTACATCCGTCCTTAAAGTATTAAATAAGTCAACAAAACCTGTTGGTGGTATATCTGAGTAAGTATCTTCAAAGGAGTATTTTTTACCATTCACAACAACAAAGTCTTCTGGTGTCAAAAGAGCAAAACAGGCTTTAGTCGTCATCGTGTTTAAGGTAGTTTACAATATCGTCCTTGAGGACTTTGTAAGTTTGTTGTTATAGAATTATATGACTCAGGGTTTTTAGTCGTAATAGTATAAACCACTATGTCTTCTGCCATTTACTTAGCAAGTAAATTTTAATGAAATGTTGTGGTCGTCAAATATTTTTATGACGTCTGGGAAACTATACTTTTAAGTTCAACGTTTCACCTCCTTTCATAACGTATATCTTGTCAATGACATTATATGAAACACCACAGCAAGCAATGTCGGGTTCTATTTCTTTAATGTTTATATCGTCTGCCTCTGTCAAAAGTTTCAATAGTTCTTTCAAAACTTCATGAGGTGCAATGACATATGAGTTCACTTTTACAGGGTTGTGCTCAACCAAGTTTAACATTATACTTAAAGCTTGACAAATCTTCTCCTGAGTTTGAAGTTTGTCTTTAAGTTGTTGGTAGTCGTTTCGAATATCTGCAACAGAACTTAAGTCTCTGCTAACTTCAGGGTATGTTGGTTGTTCTTTTACAGGAACTATTGTTATACCATTTTCGTCTTCGTATGGTTTCCCCACTTCAACATCTCTTTCTTTGACATTGACAACAACACTTTGACTGTTTGTTTGAGTTGGTGAATTTAACTTCACATCTGCCACCGCCATTAAACCTTTTGAAACACTTACGCTTCTATTTTTCGGAAATGACATTTTACTAAGAATAAAAAGATGGACGTATTTGAGTATCTCTTCGAATTGAAGCAAAACAAAGTTTACACACACAAACAATACAAGTTCATTGACAGAGTAGTTCTTTACACAAACAATGGAAAATGTTATAGAATAGCAGTCTTTGCTGAACCAAAATATTTTCATAAAGCAAAGAAAGTTGGTATAACGAGATGGTGAAAGTTCTTGAAGCAGACAAAAATATAACAACAAAACTGACCGATATTTCTAAAGGTAAGTTTATAATACAATATTATATCAAAACTGGCGTACTGTCAATATTTGACGGAGAGAAGTCAGTTCAAGAACAACTTACTGACCTGCTGCCAAAATCTGCTCGATGGAAGCTGTCGTTATGCCAATCTGAGGAGCCCCAGCAGGTTTCATCGAACGAATCTTCAAAAGAGCATCTTCCGTGAAAAGTGCTATTGGTTTTGTAAACTTCTTTGCTCTCAGTTCATCTGGACCGTCTCTGTCACCAGTATATTGTATTTGAACTGTACCAACAGTTGAAATACCACCCATAAAGTCTTCTGAGTCAGCAAATGGAATGCCAAGCCAAAAGTTTGAACGGTCTCCATTTGTATATTGAGTTTTTTGACCTCCTGTATGAGTCCATACTTTCACATATGGCATAATAGAACTTTGCATTTCAGGGTTAATGGTTGTTGTGAAGTTGTTGTTAAAGTTCATAGCATCTAATGTCAAGTTGTATGACCTCATATCCTCAACTGTAGAATATTCTTCTCTTGGATAATATTTGCCATCTATGTTTATATGATATTTAATACCGGGGTTGTAGAAACAAGAATAGTCATTTATAGTTCGTCTGAACAGTACAAACATAGTATCTGCATGTTTCATTGCAGTTGTTAAAGCAATATCTGTTCTTGCACCTGGGTCAGCACTTTGGTTTCCAACTTCACCTGCAAAGTCTTTGACAGATATTTGGTGTATAGGGAACATAAGTGGAACTGCAATATATTTGGCAGCTAAAGCATTTGAAATATCTGGGTCCAACATATAGACTGCAAGTCTGCTTTCTATTCTCTTGCATTCAAATTTTTCGCATGTGAACTTAACTGGGTCCCAAGCAGTTCCAGCAGCATTGAAATAATAGTTTACTTCATTGTTGAAGTTTGAGAAACCAAAGTCTAAGTCAACTTTGTCTTTGCAAAAGTCACAGAACTTGGCTCCACCAGTTCCAGCTACAGTAATGCTGAATGGGTCTTGTGTTGGTGCAATGACTAAGTTATTTTTGCTTGGAGTAAGTTCAATAGAAATTTTTCCTGCCCAGTTTGGCAAGTATCTTAAAAACCTGAAGATGAGGAAAGATGACAAAGGAACTCTAAGTTTCAGTT